GAAATTATTGGGAAAGAACCTAAGTCGGAGAATAACTTCTGACATTAGGCAGGTTGCAAGTCAAGTTGCAGAGGAATGCAAGCGTTCGCCTCTTGCAATCATAATACTAGGAAGGGCTCTAAGAGGGAGAGCTTTGGCTGAATGGAGAAAAGCATTTCAAGGACTTAATTCAGAATTGAAAGAGGGAGAAAGCGAAGAAGTTAGAATTGTTTACAGAAGTGTAAAGCTGAGTTATGATCATTTGGAGGATAATGAGACCAAAAAATGCTTCTTATTGTGTTCTTTGTTTCCGAAAAATGATCCCATTGCTCCGCAGGACTTGATAAGATACGCATGGGGGCTAGGGATATGTCAAGGCATTGATTCAATTGAAGAAGTTAGCAAAAAAGTTAATGTGGCAATCAAAAATCTCAAAGATTCCTTTTTGCTGTTAGAGCATGGGAAAGAACACTTTCAAATGCAAAGTGGGGTTTGTGAGGCTGCTTTGCGGGTGATATCCAAAGATGAGAGTTTCCTTATGATAAAAGATGTGGTCAGCTTGTGGGAAACGCCAAGAAGTGAAGACCTTGAGTCCTGTTCAGCAATCTCCTATGTGGCTAGCAAGACAGAAAAGCTTCATGGCGAGGAATTCCGAGGTGAAAAGCTTCAAATTCTGTTTCTTGGCGGGGATGGTTGGAAGGAAATATCCAATGAATTTTTGCAATGGTTGAAAGCACTAAAAGTTTTTTCTCTCCATCATGGTGATTTGTCAGCAGATGCTCTTCAGAACTTGACAAACCTTCGAGCTCTACATTTGGAGCATTGCAAACTGAATGGCCTGTCATCTCTAGGAAAGCTGAAGACACTGGAGATTCTCAGCTTTCGAGGTTCTGGTATCGGTAAATTGCCAGATGAAATTGGAGAATTAGATAATCTGAGATTGCTGGATTTGTTTGATTGTCAAGAGCTGCATAGAATTCCTCTAAACTTGATACGGAAGTTATCCCGACTAGAAGAGCTATATTTCAGGCACCATAGTTTTGAAGTATGGTGGTCTGACGAGAAGCGTGCAGAAGGAAGCAATCCTACCCCATCAAATATCAGGTCACCTTCCAGTTTGGCAATTGATACACTTGAATATCAGAAAAGCATTGATAATTTGTGTGACACAAATTCAAGACCCTCGAAGGTTTCAGTATTCTTACAAGATCAATCCAAGGAGAGGAATCAGACAGTGAGCTATCTTTATCGGGATCATATTGTTTATCACAATAATAATGTTTCTCCATACGTGGCTCAAAGTGTGAAAAAGGTGAGGGTTGAACGTTGTAATATGTTTGGAGCAGTATTTCAGGATGGGTTCATTCTTTGTGGCACTGAAGATAACTCTGATTCGCTGCTCTCAGATCTAACATCCTTGGAGCTAGAAGATTTACCTAATCTAAGATGGATATGGTACGGGAAAGCCAATGATGTAAGCCTCCAAAATCTGAGTACTGTGAAGCTAAAGAATTGCCATCGTCTGAAATATCTCTTCTCAACCTCCATTGCTCAAAGGCTGGAGCAACTGGAAACACTCGAGATACATGGCTGCAATAGGTTGAAGCAAATTATTGCTGATACGAGAGATGATCTTGATGTCAATGAAACAATAAATCCGGCTCTCCTCCGTCCTCTATGCTTGCCAACATTAACAACTCTCAAGGTTACTGGTTGTCCTGCATTGGAATACGTTTTCCAAATCACAACAGGTCAAATCCTTCCAAAGCTTACACTGCTTGAAATAGGCAGTTGCCATGAATTAGCACAAGTCTTCAGCTCTAAAGATGCCGCGGACGGAGAGGACATTGAGGTACCTCAGTTAAAAAGGTTATCACTCAAAGACTTACAAAACTTGAAGATCTTTTGTTCAGAAAATCGTTCTATCAAGTTACCAGCATTGAAACAGATCGAAGTGGAAGCATGCCATCAATTCAGTAATAATGCCATGTGTGAAGTGATAAAGCATGGTCCATTAGAGGTACTTATCCTTGTGTTTGTCTTCTGATTTTTCCTAGATACTATAATTTTGAGAATCTAAGATTCAGATTTAATCTTATAGATGATAACAAGTGATATGTATCCGTGTCGTTTACAGGAAGTTTGCCTCATCAAAGTGGGAAGTCAATTGTGTGGAAAGATCTTTGAACTTCCAGGTGGATACATCCTATCAAGTCTGCTGCAACTGACATTGGAAAAGATAAATGAGCTGCAAGCTATATGGAAAGAGCCCACCCAAATAATCGCCCTTCAAAATCTTACTCATTTGAAAGTGGTCAAGTGCAATAAACTGAAAACTCTATTCTCACTTTTACATGCTCGAAATCTGCTGCAGTTAAGCCATCTACTTGTACAAGAATGCAAGGACTTGGAGCAGATCGTTGCCGGGGATCAGATTTCATCATCATCATCATCATCATCTCGTCTCAAACCTGTATACTTCCCTAACCTTAAGGAAATATCGATTGAAATTTGCAACAACCTGAAAAGTCTCTTCCCTGTTAGTGTCGCCCACCTTCCAAAGCTCGAAACATTAAGAGTTAACAAGGCATCTAAATTGAAACGAATCTTTATACATGAAGGTGAAGCCAAAGTCAAAAGTGAAGGGGAGATAGTGCTTTGCTTCCCTAAATTGGAAGTTTTGCACCTGGAAAAGCTATGGAACCTCCACAGCATCATCCCGTTGGGTTATGAATGCGTATTTCCGGTTTTGAAAGCATTAGCGCTGAAAGAATGTCCTTTGTTGGCTACAAGTTTCAGGAAGGTCGATTCAGAGCCTATTGTCTATGCCAAAACCAAAGTAAGATTATAACTCAGTACCCTACACTCGAATTGACAGGATTTGTTTTGTTTTCCCCTTGTTTCAATATTTAACGTTTTAACTTGTTCTGCTGCAGGAAAATTCGTCAACCAAGGAAGAGAATAATTACTCTAAGTTTAGAAGGTCTGTTACATTTCAAGAATTACCGAACGATTGGTCACCTGGGATGAAAATTGACTGAAACACGCAATCTGAGAGCAGTTAGTTGACAGGTAAAACTATGACTACATTCCTGTTTTACTACTAGTTTTCTTCAGTACTATGCTATTGTGCTACTCCCCAACGATCTTTGCTATATAAATGATAGGTGGTTGATAGTGCTCTTCATAAGCAGTTAGGATACTTGTCTAGTTGTTGAACCTGCAAAATCGGCTTGCTTTGCATTTTAATCAGTGGAGGTCAGTTTGATGGAGTTACCAAGGGAAGGATTTTAATCTGGTTCGCACATAAATGCTTCTTGGACTTGGAAAATTGCTCTGCTTCTTATTTTGGAAAGTATGAATGTTAGTCAGCTGCAGCTGTCAACCGAAACGATCATTGCTTTCAACTCTACTTTGTCAATGAAATTCTGGAATAATCAAGTAGTGAAAGGATCACTGCCTTAAACCTTTGCTTCACTTTGTTGTGGAAAATTGATGTGCTTAGCTCTTCAGGGTGTCAGGATCTTTGCTTTCAGCTTTACATGATCGTGGTAAATCGGCTTGCTTGGCATTTCAATGAGTTCTTCCTCGACAAATCATCAATCAAAAGGATTTCCGGTTTCGGAAATTCCAGAAAATTGATGGTTCTTTTGTATTTTGCTGTATTTATTACTAAAATTTTCTTTGTTCTCAAACTTGCTCAAGTACGGGTACTCTCTACCCATTTGCTTGTATCGAAACTTTAAGTTGAGCCATTGTAATTGTCCGTTCAATTTTACTTTGTTGGTTGAATTTTGTGTGAAGCTTCATTACACTACAAAAGAGACTAGGTAGGAACAGATAGGCACCAATGCTGTCAACAGACTCAAACCCTGTGCATAACATCCAAAACAAATATAGTAGAATGATAAAATTGCATCCAAAAAGGGTAGAGTTTATAAATTTAAAGAGAAATATGAAGAAACAAAAATGACTAGACAGAGATATTATAAAATATTTGGTAGAAATGGTTGTACACTTATATCGATAGCACAATATATTAATATTATTATATCATATAGTGCAAAAATGATAATTTTTTTAATTCAAACAGTTATAAAGAATGATGATTCATTTGTCAATTTAGTTTATTTAACATCTTTGTGCATGAATAGAATATCTTAGTTAATAGTTTAGTGCATCTAAAATCAAAGATTTCTATCATTATTTTTCTTTAGCCACAATTTCTATCATTTGTTAATATTTTGTTTTCTTTTTTGAATTCTACAACTCTACAAGTTTACATCCCTTGCTAGCTTTGACAGATTTGATAACAACCAACCTGGCTTTTTGTATTAGAAAATGTGGACTCCATTCACTCGTATCTTTAGATCTTAGAAAACCTAGAACCCGCAACTTGATTAGAAAATGACCCTATCTCACAAGTCATTATACCTTTTTTTTTTAAAAAAAAAAAGTCATTATAAATTTCTAATATTCCTTTCTCCCCACTAAAAAGTTCTTGTCTTTATAGATAAAGCAATAAATAAGCTTGAGCTGCTCGTGAAACAGATAAAGGTCGAAATTCTTTTCTTATTATTGCTTTTCAATTATTGGTTTTTATTGCTTTTTGAGGGATTTTTATTATTATTTAATAGTCGATGCATGAACTTTTTATTTGAAAAGTAAATTTGAATCTCCCTTTTTTCTAAAAAAAATAGAAATTATTGTGTTTCCTTTCTAAAGGAAGGGGAATAGTAGATTCTCCCCTGACATTTAGAAAAGTGAGTTTGGATCATATGCCTCTACACACATAAGAACCAGGCATACTAGCTCAAAATCATGGGATCAAAGGAACATAAACTGGACAAAACATCCCAGCAATCAAACAACTAGCCCATCAGGGTTAGAAAAAACTATCCTAGCAAAAAAAAGGAAATCTATGAAAGTCCCTTCCCCTTTACAGCTATACAAAACAGTTGCCCATTCTGTTTTATTGCTCCATTAAGAAGAGCTTTACCTTAAAATTGCCTTCCTCCCACCCTTCGGCCACCTCACAGCTCTCCCTCCAAGTTATTAGTTTCTTTGGCTTCACAGTCTGGTAGATTCCGACTCTGTTGTAAACTCCCTCATTACCTCCATTGTCTCATTTTCGCAGTAGTTAATAAGATTTGTTACTCTGCCAATGCCATCCTTAGCTAACCGATCAGCCATATCTATATATATATATATATTGATAAGCTGCTTTTCATTAATATTAAAATGAGCTGTACAAGGTTAGAAGCGAGACAAAAAGAAGCTTCATAACCAAGACAAGAAAAAGAGGAAGCAATCTGCTTCCATCAGCTTAGCCACAAGCGAGCAAACATCTATACAAAATTTCATCATACAAAAGCAACAAGGACATAAGTTTGTCAGAATTCATTACATGCAAAAGAAGCTTAAAGGCATAGAAAATTAAGAGGCCAAAATCTCGGTGCATAGAGTAAATGGTGCAGACCGGTAGAACTTGACATCTGCAAGAAATTCTTTTCCACATCCTGTTCCTGAGATCAAAGTCAGAGACCAGCAACAGCATAGCAGCGGGCAACTATCATGCAAAAAACAAAAAATGAAATTCAACAACATCATAAAAGGACAGCAAAGGAAAAGGACTATCAGATTGTGAGAGATCAAATCTCCAATGAGCTAACCGCTGTTTCATTCATGTTAAGGACTTGAAGCTCCAGCCTGGAATTATTGCTGTTGGTTTGCATCAATTGCAGAGCTTCACTATTAATCCAAAGAAGATCCTGGGGTCTTTGCACACCATTTTTAGCTAAGCTATCTTCAATTCGAATATCTTGCCAATTTTGGACCATTTCCAATATCTTGATAATTCGAATGATAGACTTAGTCACCAGGGCACGTCGTGAGGGTTTTTGAGCCATTTGACCACATTAGAAGAGTCACATTCAATGATCAACGAATGAGTAGCACACCAAGCCGAAGCAGCAAGCAATAAGATGGCCTCCTTAACAGCCATTAATTCTGCCATATTAGAGTCTATGACTCCTATGGACTTTGAGAAAAAGAATGAGTGAGTCTCTATTATCCTCTCGCAAGATACCACCAACCCCCAAATCGCCTAGGTTACCCCGCAAGGTGCCATCCGTATTAAATTTAAGAAATCCAGACTATGATTTCACCCATGCTTCCTGTTTTTTAATCTTCTTTTTTAGTTTGGGGTTAAGGCCCTCATTTGGGAATCTAATCAAGTCACCAACTGACATATTAAGGTTTGGCCACCTTGCGTTGAGCCACCATGCAACTCTAACCTTAATAAGTTCAAAGATTTGACAAGCATTCCACTATTTGCCTCTAAAGGTAGTATCATTTCTACCAATCCATATTGTCCAAATAATGGCATACCAAGCTATTTTCAAGACCAAATTGTTGTCCAAACTAGAATTGAATTCAAACCTGGATAGGAAACTTACCAGGCGGTCGCGGTGAGCGATCTAATTCAAATTGCAAAGGCCTCCGCACCATTGCCATAAAAACCAAGTCTTTTCGCAAGTAAAGAAAAGATGGGCGACTGTTTCTTTCTCTTTTCTACAAAGTAAGCAAATGGAAGCAGCATCATTGATGATTCCTTTAGTGGCTAGGTTGTCCTTAACAGCCAGAGATCCTCTAACAAGCTGCCAACAAAATATTTTTTAATTTTTAGAGGCGCAAGTCCTTGCCAAATGAGCTTCCAATGGTTGGCGTGAGTGGTGTTGGCATGAAGAACCATCCTACAAAAGGATCTTGACGAGTATTATTGTTCCCTAGAGTTACCTTTCCAAATAAGTTTGTCTTGGAAGTTTCTTGCCATGCTTTGCTTTTCTATAAGACCAATGAATTCCTCCAATTAGTCCATTTCCCATTTGAATAGTCTTCTTCGTAATCCGATTTGCTAGACCCAGTCATTTTCTTGCCATGATCCGAACTCCACCACCCTACCTTGTTTTTTGATGGCTAAAGCAAAGACCCTCGAGCATGCGTATTTGAGAACAACTCCTCCGATCCAATCATCCCCCCAAAAGTCAATTCTTTTACTGTTTCTTAGAGAAATAACCAGTCCATCCATGACAAACTTATTATAATCACATACGCCGGCAAGTGGTCTAGTGATGTTTCTTATAATTAAATAGACATGAAAGAAATGTGTAAATCACCTTCCTTAACATATTAACTATATCAATATTGTTGTACAAGGTAATATATTTATAGGGTTAGAAAACTATATATTAACACATACACGAAGTTTATATATACCTTAGGAGGACAATTGAGGAAAACATCTCCCCAAAGTTTTATAACATGTCATGTCATGTGGGTCTCTTGAAGGCAAAGGTGAAGGGAGGGGGCAAGTAGGGGCCTCGCCCCACCCTAAAATTTTAAAATATTAAATTTTTTATTTTCGTCTTTCAAATATAAAATTCTGACTTCATCAATGCTTGAAGGGATCTTGAGACCAAACCATTTACTGGTAGCACTGAAGATCCAGAGTGTGCATGATCAGCCGGGCCTATTGTATTTACAGAATAGTGTTGCACTTGAGTTGAGGCCTATTGGGATTTTGAGCTGTACTTCAGTGCAAGGATTACTTAAGGATGCTTGAATGGGTGAAAGCTCTCCACCTTTCTCCTGTAACTTTCCACCCTTTAATACAAATACACTTTCCAAAAAAAAGCTTTTATTTGTTTCTTTTCTTCCAAGATCATGGCTGCAACAATGTGGTCCAAATGAGTTGGCAACTAATTAATGCATCAAAAATATCGATGAGTGGTTCCTATTTTTATTAAGACATGTTGGCTATATTTAAAATTCCCTTGAATAGTTAAAATTTTGAAACTTTATTTTAAATATTTAAAATTCAAAATATATGAAAAAGGTGATGAAATTCATGGAACGAAGAGAATTACGTCTTGATCTACAACTCAAGTTTAATGAACATTTTTCGTTATTAAAAGAAAGGAATATTGGTTTAAAAAAATGTTGAACTATTCAAAAATATTAAAATAAATTATTATTTTTTTATTACATTCAATCAATTTTTTATATTTTTATTTTGAATCAAATAAATTTTTATTTTTAAGAGTTAACAAATTATCATTAATCAAAATATTATTTTTTATTTTATACATAGGTAATGTTTATGTGGAGGCTGAAAATTTTTCATGATCATGTTATTATTGTTGGAACAGGGAAATCATGAAATAGCATTGTCATTAAGAACAGACAAATTGGTTGAATGTTCCAACAGACATGACATTTTGGCTTTTTGTTTCTTTTATTTTCCAACATGAGATTATGTCTCATTCATTTTATTTGAAAATGTCCAACCAGTCACATTATGAGATGTGAACAACTCCACTTCTTATTTATTACGTATCAAATTCTTCTTCAAGTTGGAATGGGATCAATCAGCAACGTGTGTGTATCCATCTCCTTCCTTGTAAAGGAAATCCATCACCCTTGCAAGATTGATCCCATTATGAGATGCAACATGCCCTCTCTCTTGCTCAAACTGCAATACGCAAATTAATTTCTAAATAAATATATAGGTGTGATTGATAAAATGTATGATTTTAGTCTTATTTATGATTGAACTCTATGTTATATTTTAGCATTTAGTTCTTTACCTTGTGTGAAACAATATCGTCCATGAGGCGGGCAATCATTGAAGAAGCTCTAATAATCTTAGGATTGTTAGATGCACAATCAAAGATTTCTCTGGTCACAATGTCTCCCATTCCAACAAAAGATGTGATTGCAACCATGATGTAGCCAGAAGATACTAATCCGTTGGTCATGTACTCCGCCACCGTTGGTACGTAGTTTTCATGGTGCCATTTAGCCTCAACAAAATAAGCTTTAGATAATTGTTTCATCTAGGAAATGACCAAAGCCAAAGAGGGTATATTATCAGCTTTTGTGGTGCCAATAATCTTTATTTATTTCATGAAAATCTTGAATGAGATGGGGATAGTGTGAATTTACTGCTTCTTTCGCACACTGGACACGATATGTTTTTCCTTGCTTTGCCATCACTTCCTCCATTTCTTCTTAAACGTCTAAGAGTGCCTTGTAGAGCAATTTCATGTATGCTGGGAGTTGGTCCATACACTTAATATCCCACCTGAAAATTCAATCAAATTCTAATATTGAAGTTATCAAAAAAGTTAATTGCAATATATTTATATATTGCTGACCTCTCAATTGCATTGGTAAAGAGCTGAAGCTCTTCAAATGTGCCATAAGCATCATATATATCATCAATAGTTGATGCCATGACTATTGCTTTTGTCAATATCTGTCTAGCAAAGGCGTATTGAGGCTCGAAGTACACTCCCAATATCCAAAAGTAACCTTCAACCAATCTATCTCTTGCAAAAGGTAGCTTTCCCTTGAAGTCTAAATCTTTCCACCACCTGAAATAAAACCATTAGCACAACTATAATTTTTTATTATTCAGAAAGCTATTCATACATAAGAATTAAGGAGTTAATCACCTAGAGATCTTGCTTAGCTCTTCCTTGTGCAGATTTTGTACCAAGTTGAAATCCAACTTGGCAAACTTCAGTAGCGTTTTGTCATGTGAACCATCTTCTTGATATATGGAAATGAATCTCCTAGCTTCCAACCTTGGCAATCCTTTACGGATGGGCCATTTTCGGGCACGGGAGACTAGTACTGAAAGGGGACACTGATCTATGCTAGTTTCAGCAAACTCTAGATGAGTGGTGGTGAAAGCAAGTGCTTCTTCCAATATATATTCTCCATGCATACGCATATGAGCAGCTTCGTATAATCCTAGCAAGCCTTTCACTTCACTTTTCAAGGACACCTTGAAGTTTCCTTTGTCATCTTTGAACTTGTTGAATGTTTCTGCGCAATCAAGGGAAAGTATTAAATTCAATACTTAATCAGCATGTAGTAATTAAATGTTCTTGAAATCTCACCAAAATATTACTTTTTCGATTACTTAAATCATTAGAAGATAATCGATTCCCTCACTTGACATTACACATCACCTTATCTTAACCAGATGGAATATTCACATCAACTTTTATTTATTCAACATTTAAAAGGTTTTAAAACAAATTAAGACTTACCACACTGGACATCAAAGCCATGCTCTCTTAGCAATCGAAATCGAAGAGATGTAATGTAGATATCATTGCCATCACTAGTGCAGTCACCATAAACAGTTTCTAAAGCATCTTCTATCTCTTTCTCAAAATGGTAAGCCACAACTAAGCGTTGGACTGCATCGATTAAGTGCAACTTTTGGGATGGTTCATCCATAGGTGTGGTAAGCATTCTCCGTACTTGTTGCTTCAACTCTTCTTGTAGTTGAGTTGTAGCATCCATGTTCTTCGAAAGAGCAAAATTTTGTGAAAGCATAATTTAAAGAGTTATCAAGAGTTTAAATAATTGAAAACCATGTAATTTTTTTCTTTAAAAAAAGGGGAAGTATAGTATACTTTTTCAGGACATGTGAGGAAAAGATCTCCCCATATGCTAGGAGGGAAATTGGCCAAATGACGATTCTCATTGGACTTGGCATTATGATCATCAGAGGAAGTAGAAGCAGGTTTTGAACAAAGTTTCGAGGACATTTCTTTTTTCAATAACTTGTGCAAGTAGTGAGGATCTTTGCACTAGTTGTTGTGTTTATATAGGTTTAAGTGAGTCCTTAATTAATTACAACGGTCAAACAATTATTAATTCTCGATAGGAATGTAAATCGGTTATTGTTATAAGAATACTCGCAAAAATATCTAACTTGATAACATAATAACTTGTGCAAGCAGTAAGTAGACATAAATGGGATCTCAATCAATTACGACGGCCAGCCAAATATTAATTCCCGATCGAATCAACCCAACCACACATGTGCTTTCAAAGACAATGTATCAACTCATTTACAAAACAAAAGCCATTACCATGGCCAGCCAAAGCCCCAATACAAACACAGCCATCAGACAGAAATAACTGGCCAACACAAACACAATGGTCAAAATATTCATATCCCAACCAGTAATAACCCAAGAGATCATCCTGCTGTTTGTGCACTCCAACTTTGGCAAGAGAGCCTCATGCATATGTGTTAATTTGGATCAAAATATCATTGATCTAATAATTTTTTAAACTTAAATCACATGGTTCTCAAAAGCTTAAGTTCAAGTTATTAGTAATGATTGACTTTTATCTTTACATAAGTTTTATCAATTACATACACATCCAATGTGTAATGAAGTATCACATTAAAGCATATACTTGCACATAAAAGTGAAGCAAACAGCAAGGGGCTTCCTGAATTAAAAGCTCTATCTTATTCCTTGCAGGAATTCCAATTAAAAGAGGAAGATATGTTAAGGACTCTTTCCATCACAAAAGTTACAGATTCAAAAGAGAAGAAGGGAAAACCAGCACATGATCAATCCTGATATAGTTCGGTCTCGCACGGAGAAAAACAAGCAACCGGATTTGCAGTTAGCTAAAAAGGCTTTTGGGGTTTGTAAATGTGAGTTTGTCAAATGATTTTTGTTTCCTGGGTTGCCTGGT